ACTCATTTACTGGATGACCTCACAGGTAGACATGAACAGCTACAAACGAGGTTCCATGACATGACATGACTTATATTTCCTCGTGGTTATGTCTTGAAATACTTGCCAAATACTTGGCGAATACTTAGACTTAGGGCTACAACTTATGTCCCCTTAATATAGTGTCTTGAAGAAATTTAACCCCACTTATTTGCGCTCCGATGGGAGGTACTCATTTACTGGATGACCTCACAGGTAGACATGAACAGCTACAAACGAGGTTCCATGACATGACATGACTTATATTTCCTCGTGGTTATGTCTTGAAATACTTGCCAAATACTTGGCGAATACTTAGACTTAGGGCTACAACTTATGTCCCCTTAATATAGTGTCTTGAAGAAATTTAACCCCACTTATTTGCGCTCCGATGGGAGGTACTCATTTACTGGATGACCTCACAGGTAGACATGAACAGCTACAAACGAGGTTCCATGACATGACATGACTTATATTTCCTCGTGGTTATGTCTTGAAATACTTGCCAAATACTTGGCGAATACTTAGACTTAGGGCTACAACTTATGTCCCCTTAATAATAGCAATTAGAGACGCAAGGCGAGCGCATGAAGGCTGCTTAGCGACTTGTCTTTCTTCCCCCTCCATTGCTGGAATGTGATTGGGAATGCCATATGGATGTATGGGTGTTGACTTCGCTCATGGGAGTTGACTCTACGGTGATCAAGCTGCCATTTTGTCTCTACGGTGATCAAGAATGGTCATAACAGGGACATACACAAAAAAAAAACTACAGGGCCACTGCCTGGAATTGCAATTAGAGACGCAAGGCGAGCGCATGAGTTCCGACATTCTACTGTCACGGTGTCGTGCTACCCGTCTTGCGCTACGTTTCCAAATCGCGCAGATGCGCAAATATAGACTGCGATTCTGGGCACTTGACTCCTTACATAAGCGCTATCGGGAACACAGCGAAAACGCAAAAAGACACCTGGCGCAGAAATTTGCAGCACGGTTTCAAGAGCTAGAGGCTTGGCGAGATGAGGCGCTAAAACGAGACGCGTTTGGCAACGTTTTCATGCTGGAGATTATGACTGGTGTTTAGCTTAGAGATTATGACTCGTGTTTATGTTGGATATTGTGACTCTTCACTATATCGCGACATAGATGGATCATATACCCATTCGGGACGCTCTGGAACGGAATGGAGCGACAAATGGAGCAACCTTTAGGTGTACCTTTTATCCCTTCATACCTGCTTTTCGCGGTATGCGTCACAAATACGAGCTAGCCCGAGCCCGAGGCAACAAGCAGACGGAGATGCTGCTTGAGTTAGGGCTACCGCTACAGCATCCCCAGCATCGTCCCTGGCTCTTTTGTTTTTCTACTTGAAAAAAAAGCCAAGCACTCAAGGACTACGCTCTCAGGGATGATGGGAACGCGGTAGCCCTAATCGAGAGCGAAAAGAAAATTGCCAATCTGACTCGCGAATTGGAGAAATTGACCAAAGATCGTGACGGACTAATCCAGGTTCGAGACGCCCTGCTTGCAGACAAAAACCAACTACATTATGAAAAGTGTCTGGGTGAAAAATATTGTTGTTGCTTTCAATGGAAAAGACGTGGATGTACTAGTCAGAAGTACTTGTTCTGAAATTCATAGTAGAAGGACTTTCTTGATGTTCAGAGAGATTGATTGATCCGCAAACGTATTGTGTTTCATGAAGTCAGAATGGTCTTCATCGTCTCGAAATTTCGATTCCCAAAACTTCGCTGTTCTAAGGACCAACCGAGGCCGTTCCGATGCTGCAGGAAGAAACCCTCATTTGGCGTGGCAGGTTGTACCAGACGAGACAAGTGCTCCAATTAGCCGTTCTAATGAACTGGTATAAGTTAAGCCTTTCGGAATTGCATTCCCCACGAGCATCCCTGGCTTTTTGTTTCTAGAAGAGAATGAGAAGGGAAGGAAGATGTTCTGAGGAATGGACTGCCGTAACCTCTAAATAAGCTGGTCGCTATGCATGAGAAGGACCGTACGATTGCATGGCAGCAGACGTTCATCGCGGAACTCGAAGTGCTAAAAGTAAAGTATGCGGAAGAACAGCGGATATGCCAGGAATTGAGAGCGGAACTCGAAATCAAAGAGGAGAAACTGGAACAGATTTATGCTGCACGCATTCTGGAGTTCACGTAGTCCGATAAAGTAAGTAACCGAGTTACTGACTGAAGTAAGGGGCGTAGCTTAACATCAAGACTACTCTTCTTTCTCATCAGTATCTCGGTTATTCTCGTCTGTTACTCGCTTATTTCAGTTTTTCAAGTAATTTGTTTACACTTATAATTTCGCACACTCAGGAGTTCTATTCGATCCAGGAGTTCATCTAGTTGGACCGTTGAAGTATAGTACCTAGTCGGACCGTTAAAGTAAATATATGAGACTTAAATGTTGTATTAGGTGTCCCGGTACTCAAATGCCTGAACATTTACACTACTACGATTAAGATGACGCAAGAATTGTTGAAGTTTTCGCATCTAACAATTGGCAGCTTTAGAAGCGGAGCGTGACGAAATGGCAAAAGAGCTTAAAACGCTTCGTAGACACAACAAGGAGTTAAAGGTCACGTTAGAAAGTCGCGTTATTACGGCCACCGCTAAAAAAGCATCCAAGAGAGCGTCCTCCTGCATCGTGATCCTTCTCTCTTTTTCTATTTAGTTGAAAAAGAAGCCTTTCTGAGGAAATATGTGTTTACGACATTACCCAAGGGAGAAGGTGAAGGAGATGCAAACGCGGTAGCTCTAACGTTACCAAACCTGTTCTCCCTGCACGCTTTTTGTGTATGCGCTGCAGCAACGAAGTGTCTCAGCGATCCTCGACAGACCACGAGGGATCCTCTTCGCGAACAACGTCTCTAGTAAGGGAGACGCCGTCAACGTCTCTAGTGCATTCTGCCAGTTTCAACAAGGTCTCTACTGGCCAACTGGTTGCACCAGATCCTTTGTTCGTGCCGGGATCTGGCATTCTGCCCACTGGAGGAAGCAAGGCGTCGCGTGCGGCGCAGTTGACCGAGGCACCGAACGCAGACACCGCGCGGGACCTCTTGAGAGGAACGAACTTTTTACCACGCGTAGTGCTGCAACCCGGAACATCTGCGAGAACTACGCGGAAACGTACTGACAAAGATGATTTCGATCGCATATTTTTCAAGGATCCTGCTGGGTAAGCGAAGCGTGAGGGGGGATCATTTGCAGGCGTCTGGCGTCACATATCAACTTCAAAGATGAACTCAAGGCCAATCAATAGTCCTTCGGTTCAAGATTCAAACAACGTCGCAGCTCATCCTCACGCAACTTCGTGTTCGTTTGTCTATCGGAACGTCATAGAACGTCGCATCTTCGTCGACACCACAGACAACGTCGCAGCAACGTCTTCGGAGACGCAATGGAACTAGGATGAGGACAGTACTGCGCCTTACTCGCGTCGTCGTCGCGCATCGTTGCTCTCGCAGGTGATGGTTTCGTGATCGCCTACCTAAATCGCTTTCGTTATAACTGAAAGACTCCGCGTCCATCTTCCCGTTGCTCGCGCTTGCTCATCCTCACGCAACTTCGTGTTCGTTTGTCTATCGGAACGTCACAGAACGTCGCATCTTCGTCGACACCGACAGCCGAGTGCGATAGATCGACCCGTTGTACTTCAGTACATTATAATGAGAACGTATCTTCGTCGACACCGACAGCCGAGTGCGATAGATCGACCCGTTGTACAACTTCAGTACATTATAATGAGAACGCATCTTCGTCGACACCGACAGCCGAGTGCGATAGATCGACCCGTTGTACTTGAGTACATTATGATGAGAACGCGACTCTTCGTACGGCCAGATCATCTCAATGAGGATATAAACACTGTCACAGAACAGCAATCGAGCATATAAAGTTAGAAACCTTGCATGTAAGTATTGTCACAAGCGATAGCAATACTGCATCATCTGCGGAGTTAACGTTAACGCCACATCTGCCTGCCAAGTGGTAATAATTAATTGAGCTACTAACTTTGCCAAGAATATGCTGCCGCTGCGTCAACATCTTCATTTCGATCTGTCTTATCATGGTGGGGAAGCGAATGATCTGGTCCCGGGAGGTGATCCTGGTCAACATGGCGCGGACGAAGCGGAGGTGTCCTTTCTCCCAAGGAAAGGCGGTAGGGGTCTTCTTCATGCTGTGAGAAACTGCGAAAGCGCAACAACATCACTGTCGTCAACATCGTTTCTTCAACAAACTACGACGATTCACCAACGACGAGCTACGACAAATTGTGCTGAAAGAACAACTTCTTCTCCTTCTACTCCTTCTTTCTCACACAGTGGAGGAAGGGCGAGGACACCAGCGCTAGTTGTACCATATCCACCACCAGGAGCGCTAGTACCAATAGCCACGAGTTTTCAGAACGACAATAGCATCTATTCATTTCATCGAAGAGGAGGACCTTCTTCGACGAAGTCAACCCCTGTATTGAGTTTTTTAGACACAACCACTACGACGCCGCGGGACGGAACGCCAACAATACTAGCTACAACACGACCAGCTGCTAGAAGTACAACAGCTAGAAGTACAACGTCATCGATCTACTCCAAAGCAAGAAAAGGAGTCATGCACCAGCTTAATAATGTTACAAGCTCAACAAGCGATAGCGAGGACAAGCGTTGTAGCTCCTTCTACTACAAAAATCCCCACGATTTCCTCGCTTTAGATGCTGATAATCATCCGGTGCTCATAGACGCGCAGGCACAGCGGAGTGCTGAGCTTAGGGTGGCCGCCGGAGTGGTCGTCGCAGCGATTGCGGGATGTTTTCTCATGCTTCTTGGTGGAATGTCTGGTCCAGCAGTCAGAAGGAAAAAACCAACAGTCAGAAGACATCAAAACCCTGCTGAAGTTGTGGCGGAAGGTCGAGACACACCTAGTGATGCAGAATTCGAACCAGAAGATTTAGAGGACGATTGAGCAGTGTCTCATATTCATAGAAGTGACAGAGACACACATGACATTAACACCGTGAAGAGCGTTCAGCAACGGTTCTTGTAGAAGGATGGAAAATTGTCAGAGATTCCTCGCACCTTCATAGAATTCTGTATAGCACTCATAGAATTTTCCGTAGCTCTACTATATCTGTAGACTCCATTTTGGAAAGCAATGATTGCGTTCTTCCTTCTGAGGATGCCGCACGCCTCCTCCTGGCGATGCCTCACGCACAAAGATTTCGGTCGGTCAGAGCTCGGTGGAAAACCTCAATTCAAACTGACGCAGTGACTATACTGAAGGCAGGCACTTTGATCGGTTACTATTACAGCACAACAGAATACGATTCTCGGATGTTGGCAGAAATCTATCATAGGTCTGTTGTATTTCGCGTCGGTCGTCGAAAAAAGCGCACCATGGTATCTTTGACGTCGGTATTAAGAGTTGTGAGACATCGGTACACGCTGTGGTGATTATTGTTAAAGATGAAATGTTGTCATCATCCTCCCGATGTGAAACCCTCTAGAGTTCACCCGTCTAGTTGGTTGTAGTTCTGGCAAAGCATCCTACAATGACACTCTTCATTCTTCTTCCTCGCAAACTCAATCTCATCCAATATTACTAACAACTTTTTCACATCACGTGAAATTATGAACACTCTCTCATCTTCTGGTTCATTAAATCATTTAACTTCTCCTGCATAATGAAAAGTTCACAATATCAATATGAAGTGAACAATATATTTCACGACCTCTTACTAGGTACACAGGTACAACGTAGTCCTACTCCTTGTCCTTCCAGTTTGTTGCCAAAATTGCAGAATGGTGCTTCCGTTTCCGAATTTGTATATCGCTCCCGTGCCCAGCGACTATGCGCTGAGGTGTAGGCCGTGGTTTTGGTCCTTTAGCTTCATCTTGTTGCTAGAGGGTTTGCTGAAGACGTTCGGCGTCGGGTTGCCCCTCCAACGTCCGGATGTCGCTGGCGGGTTCATGACGGTGGTCATCGCCGGTGTCGGCATATACACGCTGCGCGATAAGTCAATTGACATGCAATGCCTGCTCAGTTGGGGTACCTTGCTTTTTCTAGTAGTTATCTAGCTCTAGCGCAACAAAACTGCAGTAGTTTTCTAGTAGTTTTCTAGTAGTTTTCTAGTAGTTATCTAGTAGTTATCTAGTAGTTATCTAGTAGTTATCTAGTAGTTATCTAGTAGTTATCTAGTAGTTATCTAGTAGTTATCTAGTAGTTATCTAGCTATCTAAAATTGAGAAAGTCATCCGAAACACCAATAGATACTTAGTCATATGTATGAGAATACTAGCACTACACTTCTCCTCATGTCAAAGATTCCCTATTAATAAACACCAATAGATAGTCATATGTATGAGAATACGAGCACTACACTTCTCCTCATGTCAAACATTCCCTATTAATAAACACCAATAGATAGTCATATGTATGAGAATACTAGCACTACACTTCAAAGATTGTTCCCTGCGACTATTGATCGCACTCCTTCTCTCAACACGATGAATACCTCTGATGTACAATCTATCAGGTGTCATGTGCCTTATTAATGGAATTCTTTCGGGGATCCTGCTGGTCGACAGTACCGTAAAAGGGCGTGCGGGCCCCCTATTTGTACACTCTAAAGAAGAGCTGCATGGCTTTACGTCTAAACCCAATGTGATCATACACAACTTCGCTTCCGTTGTCCGCATCGCAGCCGTTTTGGCCATGCTTTTCACTGCGACTTTGGTTTTTAAGGTACTCTCTGTTCTTGCCTCTCCTATTTAAGGACACCTTTTTTTTCGAAAAATCAATCGTACCCAATAACTACAATGTACTATGTTGACTTCTCGTTTCTTTTCCTCCACTATCAATTGATGCTCTCGGGGAGGATAGCAGTATAGTAGACTACTACTTTACTTATACTTTCTAAGGTCTCTGTCCTGTAATAAGGAATCTGTTCATCTCATGCCAATGAGATTTTTGACTATCTAAGGATCAAAAGCTTATACCCAAGAAACTCAGCATAGATAGATACCAGAACTGCCATCCTCCCCAAGAGCATCAATTGCATCTTCTCTCTAGGTGTACAGCACAGTGATGGATGCAATTGATGCTCTCGGGGAGGATAGCAGTGACGAAATTGCAACCCAGCGTTTAGTCACCGAGACCGCGGCACGAATCGCACCAACCTCAGGCCGTTCTCCGGGACGCGGCTGCACCTTTATTCCCTTCGAGGGACAGGGCAAGCGGCTGCCGACTAACGTTAAGGCCCCTTCCCACAACTCTTGAGAAGCATCCTGAGACCTCCGTTTTAGAGTAGCAGCAGAACAAGAAATAGTAGATCCTAGTATTGTTTTTGCAGGATGCTGCACCATCTCAAGATGGTATGGAAGGTCTAATTACGACTCTAGTGCAGACGAGGGCACTGGTCCCACAAAAATCACAGGCGCAAATATTTCTGGTGATGCAGAGGATGAAGGCGTGGAGGTGAAGCTTGTGAATAAGCCCGCTTCAAAGGTAGTATGAGTGCTAGTGTGATAAGGACAACAAGAACAGCATAATTTCCTAGAACACTAGCGCCTTATACTCGCAAGTACAGAAGAACCAGAAGCATTGACGTAGCTGTAACGGAGTAAAAAGGAAGTGCCTAATAGGCATCGAGACGTAGCAGAGTACATACCAAGTATCCGAGACTGAGTTGTTCTTCTTATGCAACAAAGCTTAAAAATTCACACTTCTGAGTAAAAGAAAATACCAAGTGCAGCACGTGGCTTATTAGAACGACTAAGCAGTTCTGAATGGCATCTTCTGCACATCAAAACAAGTAAGTAGACTAGCATTTATGTTCTTTTCTGCGTAACAATTGAATATTTCTGCGTAACAATTTCTGCTGTTGAGATTGTAACTACAACTGTATAAAAGAATTGTCTGGGGAATCGATGATCATGCAATATTTTAACAGAAAATTATCATCAAAGAAAAGTGCATGAAGATCGTACTATGCAACGAAAATATATACACCAATACTAAAACTTTTGACTTTATTAGATTGCAAGGGAAAAGTACTTGTGCCGGTTGGCGATAGAAAAATCGAAGCGCGGTGGGGGGCGTATTATTTCCACTTTTCAGGAGGTGGGAATCCAGCTAGCTGTCGTGTTGAAAAGACCTCTGGTATGAGCTTCTTGTGTAGAAGCCAGCGGAAAGGCAGCAAGGCTGGCTGAGCCTTTCCTGCGGAAGCTAGAAGAAAAGGGTTATTTTTTCGGTAATCTGAGAATGGAGCTTTTAATGATGGTTGCCGACCTTCTTGCTCATTCATTACGGTGTTTCAAAGTTTGCTGGCAAAATTGATGTTTAAAACTTTTCTCGTTACTTTCTTTGCCCAGATGAATTCTTCTCATGTTGATTATGTTTTCGCTCGTGTCTTCGTTCTCAGTAGATGTATTTTCAAGAGGCTGCAAAAATGACCACGTCCACGTATGGAGGTTTCTTAAAAGAACGACTCCATCATCTGCTGCAGTGGAAGAGGATCGACCCAATTATGCGGATCCCATCATAGTCTGCAACCGCACTATGATTTTTCTTTGTTGACGAGGGATAGAAGGACAGTGTCCGCACGAATGGCCGCTCAAGGACATAGCCAACCGTAATAACGAGCGCGAGAAAACCCGAAACGGATACAATGGGAGGACTAGCTGTTGAACAGTCTACCACTAGCGCTAAACCACCGCTCTTAACGCGCACCAACTCATTTCGTTTCTAAGAATAGCCTCCTCTCTATTAAAGCTCGCTCCTCATTTCTTTCCCCTCTAGTTTTTTCTGGCGTTGAACAGCCCGCACCCACATCAGAATACTTCCCCTTCGGAATGTGACGCGCGTTGTTTCCTTCTTGAGTTCATCGAATTGCCATAGTATTTGGTGTTGCACTTCTGGCACATGATGCATCTTATGGAAGATCGCGCTCGAGTATAAAGCCTCAGGTGCGCGACGGAAGAAAAGCAGACTAGCATGAAATAGTCCGTGCGTGTTCGATTATCAACCCATCAGAAGCGGGATCTGTGGCCCTCACAGCTGTAGCTGGTAGTGAGTCCTAGCGGGTAAGGTTCACGCTTTAGCTGGAACCTGCAGGTTCCACTTTGGCATCGATGTGCATTCATAAAAGAGTTTAGACTTGTCCTATGTCGTCTTGACGATCAAATTGGGGACATTAAGTTCCCCCTCGAAGACCCTGCCGAATACAGGAAAATTGTGAATGGAATGTGGCTGATCTGGCAGCAATTTGCCTGGTGGTTCTCAGAGCAGAATTTAGTTATTGAATATAAATATCATTCTTCTACACTTGCATGTATCTGCTCTATTGATGGTAATTGGTGCGCCTTTGGCGGTTTTCTTTTCTACTACTAGGAGTGAAGACTTCAGCCACCTTTGGTCAGAGCAGAAGTCAGTTTCTTCATTGCCGGGCTTTGGGTTGCTCGTGTGTTCTCGGAGTCTTGCGGCTCTAGCTCGCGATGATCCAGCAGTACAGAATTTGGCGCATCAGGTGTCGCGCATATGAATCAAATCGTTCACTTCCGTGAATTCAATCGTTGCGTGCAAAAGCTCCCAGGATCCTGACAGAGTCAGCAGCGTAGTCAAATCAATCCAATGGCTTCCACAATCTTCAACTGCATGAATGTAGCCGCTTACTTGTTTGCTTAAGGATATCGGTGAGGTTAATCATGCTGCGACACTATGACGCACCAAACACAAACGGGACCAAAATGGCTCTATTTTTACTTGCCAAATATCTTGCATCAACAACATAATCACCCCGGTAGCTTGCACCTCTCTACGTGTTCAACAATAGCATCGCTGATACAAAAAATCAATCATTCGATCGGTAAACTGCGCAATAATGTCAGGCTTCTTGTAGTATCGTTTCCACCACCGGTTGGAGAATCTACTAAATGTGAACTTGTTTGATTTTTTTTCAGTTCACCTCATTTGATTATATAAGTTCGTACAATTACAACAAGAGGAATTGCACTATTCCCGATTTTATTGAATTCTACTGAAGATCCCGGTAGAAAGCGACAACAAAATGAAGACGTCTTGCTACTCGAACGTGTTCTCGTTGCTTCTTGGCATCTATTTTTCTCTCTTCTATCAGCAAGATGTTGTGTACGGCTTCCAGCTGCAACGGCGAAGTCGTGGACCCGGCATTTTGAGAAAAGGAGGCACGTCTGCTGGCTCTACTGGAGGTAGTCTTGCTGGAGGAGGTCGGCGTTCATCTTCACGACGATTAAGGCTAGAAGAAATTGCCCATCTTCACGACGGGCATCCTGAGAAATCCATCATTCAAGGGGAGAAAGGTCCTCGGATGCGTCTCAAGATGGATTTCTCTTGGTTCTAAATAAAGCTAGCCAGCGCTCTGGTCCGTTCCCGTCCTCGCATAAAAAGCTGTTGGATGACGAGCCGGAGGGGGAACCTGGTGGCTCTCCACCTGGATCTTCTGGGACAAACGAAGCGGATCGAACAAAAGGGGTGACATTTTCTTACGGCTCAGCTTTCATTGGTCATGGTCATAGATGAGGTTGGGGTCGCTGAAATCGAAGAAGCCACCATTTAGGTTGGGGTCGCTGAAATGGAAATCGAAGACATGGTCATAGATGAGGTTGGTCGCTGAAATGGAAATCGAAGATGAAGCGACCTTCTTCCCTTGCGAGTAGTAAGTAGAACAGGGGAAAACAAGGGGAGAGGCATGGGGCATTTCTCTTTCAGAATCAGTGACCACTGACTGCTGACCTTTAATTTTCACCAGGAAACAAGACTTTCGGCGTCTTCAGCGCGGCCGAGACAAAATCACGCAGCAGTCCTACAACTAGCAGCACTGCTGCTCGCGGAACTAGTGTTTCTACTGGTCCTCTTCTTAGTAAAAATCAAGATTTTATTGCTTCTTTTGGTTCTGCTTTATCTTCACCTGGGTCGTTACAACAATATGAAGATCCTTTGCGACACTGAGAGTAGTTTATAGCACGCAGAGTAGTTGTTTATTCATTGCTTCTTTTGGTTCTGCTTTATCTTCACCTGGGTCGTTACAACAATATGAAGATCCTTTGCGACACTCAGAGTAGTTTATAGCACGCAGAGTAGTTTATTCATTGCTTCTTTTGGTTCTGCTTTATCTTCACCTGTCGCGGTGGATCTTGATATCTTACAACAATATGAAGATCCACCTTGACACTCAAAGAACACCGCGACTCTTCAGGTAGGGGCCACCCTGATTCAACATCCAGATCAGTGGAGCGCCGGCCTCTGGTCTGGATGAATCCGACTGGTCAGCGGGGTACGAAACAAGAGACAATCCAGTTTCCCAGTACTGACTACCACTTCTCAGGCGAGAAAAAGCTCAGATTAGTAAGACTGTGGGAAAGAACGGGCGACCAGGGGATTGGAGGCATTAAGAAGAAGAGTATTTTTACAGTAGATAAGTATTTGTTTGAGAAGTAGGAATCCTATCACTATGTAATAGAAAGTCTGTTAGCCTTGTTCGATTTTTTCTTAATTAAAAGAAAATAACAGGAGATCCAATGGAACAAATCCAAGAATTGAATGGTTGACCGATAGTTGAGAAGCTGACACGAAAATGAAATGAAATGTAGGAGGATAAATAGAAGTAAGTAGACTGTTGGAATAAAACTGAAAATTTCTCAGCGTCTTCCAGGGGAGGAGAGATGCACCTCTCCTGGAAGGACATGCAGCAGTTTCATGAGCTTCATCATCACCACCAGATTATATTATAGACTCTAAAACTACGATGAATACAACTACAGGTAGCTCGGCTTCTTCTGCATCGTCCGGATCAAGAGCATCCCCTTCCGGGACAACTACGGAGAATGGGAAAAAGCAGTACATCTGTGGTATTCAGTTTCTCTTCGAAGGCGATGACGAGGAAGCGAACAAGTTTATTGGATGCGATCTCGACGAGAAGAAATTGCTGAAGCATGAATTGAGGATCGATCATGATCGCGGCGATTACATCAGAACCGTTTCCGGACTAGCCACTGAGTCCATCGACTACTTGAAAATCGAGCTTTATGCGCTTTCGTCTAGTTGTCTTACAATGTATTTGTTCCGTCTTTGAATTCTATATATCAGAATTAGTTCCTATTTGTTGGTCAATGGTCATTACTGGCTCAAGATCCAATGGATGAACCTGATTTCAATGCCAAATGACTGCTCTCACTCGTCACCTTGATCATGATCAATGCCGTTCCTTGTCTTGAACTCATGTTAGTTCCTCGTATGATCATCATTTGAACTCAATGAATTCCAACATGAATTAGCAGCAAGATCTCCCAGATCTTTAGCTGCACTATGGCCCTTCATGATATCCCAATGACATTGAACCCATTTTGATACCATTTCAGGGCCTTAAACAGTCAGTGATCATTCGGCGCGTCCGTTCTGATCGTCTTTCTGTTACATTGCAACGATAATCATTCCATTTGCTCTCAAGAGCCTCATAGTGCGCTTGGACGTGTTCGGGTGTTCCAACACTGTTTCAAGCCCTTGAGCCTTACCTTATTAAAGAAATTGGTAGTCGATTCTTTGTAGAAGTAGAGAAAACAAAGTCGCATTACTTGCGCCACAAAATGCCCGATATGAGTCTCGGAGAGATTTCACCCAAACTGGGGCAGAAATCTGACTGGCGTGACTGGCTTCGAGCGGTAACGCAAGAAGCAGACCGCCTGGACCTAGTCCAATACCTCAACAACGTGCTGAACGGCAATGCGGCAGGGGTTCCGAAACAACCCAACAACAACGACCGCAAGCTCCAGCAGAATTGGCGAGATTTGAAGAATGTGATCATCAAGTCGCTCAAAGGTGCAGCCGAAGCACATATGAAGGATCAGGATACAACTGGAACTGTAATGAACGCTGGTGAAGTGGTAACGAACCTCCGTGACGCTGGGTTCAGTCAAAATGACCGCACAGAGCAACGAATCTCTGCTAAAGCGTTGGAAGGGATGCATTTCACGAACCGTGATTCTCCTCCAGACGTTCCAACATTCCTGGCGAAGGTCAGAGATGTCGTGAACCAATCTCCGACCGTATACCCGCCGGAAGTTGGTGTGGCTATTGCTGATCAACAAAATGGAGCAATCCTCGACATTCTGCCAAAAATGTTTTCCAAAGCATTTCGACAGACAATCGAGAGGATGCAGGAAGATAAACGTCTAACGTTCGTCCAAATCGGTGAAAGACTCACGAAACGACTTCAGAGTTTGATTGACTCTGGTGAGTACAAGATCGAGAGTCCATCTTTCGGCAAAGCTTTTCCAGCTGTCGAAGATTCCGATGATGAAAACCAGAACAATAACAAAACCAAGAAGCGCAAGCGTCAAGATGAGAGTGATGACGATGGTAACGCATTCGCCGCACTCAAGAAAACAACGATCAAACGACTTCGCAAGAAGATTCGCAAAGAAATCAAGAACGAGGTCTACGCAACAAAAGGAAGTGGAAAGAGTAGTAGTAGTAGTTCTAGTAGTAAGAAAAACAAAGGAAATGGCAAAGGTAAAGGTGCTAAGAACTCTAATCCTAATGAGGGTATCCAGTGCGACTATTGTCACAAGTATGGACATAAGGCGCACAAATGCTGGCTAAACCCGATGAGTCAAAGCTACCAACCTAACAAAGCCATGAGCAGCAACTTCTTCAACAATTCATACAACTGTTGGCCGCAGGGTAACGCTATCCCTCCGTGGCACCAGAACAACTATCCACCGCAACAAAGTGGAGGAAAAGGATTCGACAACAGTAACCCACAGCAGCAATGGGGTGGACAACAACCACAACGCTGAGTCGAAACCAATCCGGAATGGAATAGATATGGGAAACGAGATGGACAGTCCCAAGATGAAGAAGAATTGGAAGAAGATTTCGAAGATGAAAATGGAAGACGTTCGCTGAACTTTGAAGAAAACATTGAGAATAAAGAATATAGAAGTGAACTGTTTAGAGGTGAAAGCTATATGATTGACAATCGCTCAGGTTGCTATCTAAGTGCAAATAACAGGGAAAATAGCAAAACAGTTTCACTTGTTGACAGTTGTGCTAATAAGTATTTGTCTAGCCATCGTTCCGATTTCAAGAAGATTAGCTACCGGCTTTGTCATATTAGTGGCACTGCTGGAAAGCGAAGTGGGAACTTAGGTAGACTAAAAGAAAACAAATTAGGATTAAAATATGGCGTACACTTTGAACACTTACCAAAAGCCATAGATCGCATTATACCGTGGTTAGGTGAAGGAAACTGTCATGAGAAGGGTTGGCAAATGAATTTCACAGAAAGTGGCGGAACGTTGTACAATACTCGCTCCGGCCGCTCTCTACCCATAACAAATTGCCCCCAGATGCAGTTACCTATTCTAGGCTGTGACATGTTTAGCAAAGAAGAAAATGAAACTGAGGAGGATATAGTATGCACTAGTATAGAAGAAGCTAGACTTCATTCACAAGCTTCAAGATTAGACATACATCGTAGACTTGGTCACTTTCACGTTGATGGCCTTAGTGTATCTTGTCCAGAATGTGATCGAACCAAAGGTCAAAGACGCTCTCATGCAAAAGTGAGACCCCCTGGACATATACCTTCTCCATTGAAAACACTTGCAATTGATTTCGCAGTTGGTATTAGACCAGTATCTATAAGAAGCAAAAGATGTGCTTTAGTCATTATTTGTGATTCGATTAAAATGTGTTTCGTTCGTCCTCTTTGCCTCAAGTCGGACTGCGTAGAGGTGATTGAAGAAGTAATAAAAGGCATTCGCCAGGACTACTCATTGTCACTCGACGACAAGGTGGTGTGGTTCATCCGTAGAGATAACGAACCCGTCCTAAGTAGTGACCATATGACCAAAGTCATGCAATCGCTACTGGTTTCGGAAATTCCTGGAGTTCCTTACAACCCAGAAATGAACGGAACTTGCGAACGTTTCATGCGGACCATTTTCGGTGCTGTACGTACCATGTTGGTCAAAGTCGACCGACGTCTTTGGTGTTACTGCTTACAGTATGCCGGAGATTGTTGGAATCGCTTACCGCATCGTTATGCAAAAATGCCAGAACGTGATGGAATGAGTCCTGTCGAGATACTAGAAAAGAGGATAGGAAAGAAGTCCTCGAAAAGTGGTCTAGGTATGTTAAGAAGATTTGGTTGCTTGGTGTACTTTCGTGAACAGGTCGTAGACACCACCAACAAGAAAGAAGCAAAGCTTGCGTCACCTTATCGGCGTGGTGTGTTTCTCGGTCTGTGTCCAGTTTCGTCTGGTTGGCTAGTAGGTACATATCACAACGATGGGAGAACGAAAGCTGGCTTCAAGTGGAGTGAGTATTCCACACTAGACGTAAAATTTCGAGAGTCGATATTAGTCAAGAACATTGATTGGCTATTGCCTACGTCGAAGGGCATTTATGTTGATTATGACCCGCTGGAAAACCTGCAGTCTGGCACGCCGTCGCTGGGTCCCGTCCTGCACAGACATGCGCTGCAACGTATGGCCTGTCAGCCGCGCTTCTCTGGCACGGAGTACAGCTCAGGCGATCCAACCGGCATGGAAATGATACTAGATAACAATGACATTGGTGAGTTTTTCTGTGAATCTTTGGACAAAGAGGAAGATCCAAAGACCGGTGATGATTCCAACTCTGACGCGCAACGCGTTGAGGAGGGGAATATCTCATCGGAGCGTGTGTCGCCTGACTCTAATCCTGAAGCAAGGGATCCGAGGACCTTACCCATTCCACCATCTCAACCAGGCAAAGTTGAGGAGGGGAAGAAAGGCCGAGGAAGACCTAAAGGGAGCAAGGATAAGAATCCAGGACAACGCAAAAGAAGAACAAAAGCCGAGCTAGAAGCATTAAGAAAAGACATGCATAAATTTGCCATGCTAGCAGGCGGGCATGAGCTGGAAGAAGGGGAGACCTTTCTCGAAGCACATGTCATGCTGTCAGTTTCCCAAGCCTTGAAAAGCCCTGACGCCGAGAAATGGCGTGCAGCTATCACCAAGGAGGAAGCTAGACTACTTGCCTTTGAGACTTGGGCGCCAGCTACTGACGAGGAGCTGCGAACCTCTTCTCAGGTAATGCCTATAGCAATCGTTCTCACGGTAAAACGTGATGGAACTTTCAAAGCTCGTGCTTGTGTGCTCGGGAATCTTGATCGTTCGGGGAATATCGACACCTACGCCCCTGTAGTGTCACATGCTGCGAATAGACTTTTACTCGTTTCAGCAGCGACGGACTCTGACTTCGTCATCCCATTCGACCTTGATTCTGCGTTCCTTAATGCTGAACTCGATCGTGACGTCTTCTGCCGTCTTCCACCAGTGTGGGCGGAGAAGCATGGAGCGGATATCGTCAAGCTTAAGAAAGCTCTCTATGGGCTCAAGGACGCTCCACGAGCCTGGTTCAAGAAGTATTGCGTGCTATTGTCCGAACTCGGATGGGAGCCGTGTCCTTCTGCTCCAGGATTGTGGCGGAAAAAGAGCAAAACGCACCCAGGAAAGTATATGAAGATGTCAGTCTATGTTGATGATAACTTAGCTACTGGACCTGACTATCACGAGTTACGGTCTGAGCTCGACCGGATCTTTAGTCGCGCCCCTGGCCGACCTATTGAGATGGCAAAGCGAGTCGATTCTCTTACGGGTTTCGAATGGCTAGAGTTCGACTTTCTTGGTGCGATTGTGCACTATTGTCGGGAAGCACGTTCAGTGAAAATCCTGATGAATGTGTACATAGAGAAGACTATACAGAAGTATAAAATAACATTAGGTAAGCCGGTGTGGTCTCCAAATTTCGACGAGTCTGCTTTGCTTGAGGAGGGGCTTAAGCTAGCAGCCGGGTTTCCATTGCGTGAGATTGTTGGCGCACTGCTTTGGATATCGACAACCGCAAGGCCAGATATTTGCGTCCCTGTGGCGACATTGGCTCGGTATGTCAGTAAGCCCGTTACTGAAAGAATTGCAAAAGCCTGTAGAAAAGTGTTAAAGTATCTAGCTACGACAAAGGACCAAGGACTCTACTACTCTCCAGAAAGTGAGGAAGAATTCAACGAAATTTACAAGAAGCTCCTACCAGAAGGAAGAGGGCTACCGTATACTAACTGGCTCTCAGATGCAGGATTCGCAAACTGCATAAAGAGCATGCGCTCGACCAGTGGTTCGATTGTGTACTATCGGGGTTTTCCAATCTGTTGGAAACGCAATACCCAAACTGTGCGTGCATATTCAACTGCAGAGTCAGAGTATATAGCCGCGTCGGACACTATTGTCATGAGCGAGCTGCATGATTTTACAGATTTCTTCAATCCCTTACCCACTCAACTAGTGGAAGCGCGGTTTGGTATATCGCCATCCCTCGACGATGCCATATTGTGGATAGACAACCAGCCCGCAATCTCGACAGCAAAGAGTGAAGATGCGAAGCCTAAGAGTAGACACTATGCATTACGTTATTTAAGGGTTAGAGATGCAGCTGAGAAAGTCGCTTTCTGTCCTACTCACCTGATGAAAGCTGACGGACTAACGAAACTTTCATGCTCATCCACTCAACGCAGATTATTATTACATCACATAGAGAATCCAGTAATTAGCCGTAACCATGTTGAAGATGATAGTGACTCGGAAGAAGACGATGCTGAGTCTGGTTCAAGTTCTGCTTCTTTGGCGGTGCTTACCTATTCTATCTTCTTAGGGTGTTAGGTCGTTGGTCAAAGGTGATGTCAGTGGCTATACAACGAAAGTGATGGCTCTGGGTCGGAGCAGGTAACGCCAGACCGTGTGTGACTTTCGTCTTACTTTTCCTCCCCTAGCGATTGAGGAGGGGTGTTGGTCAATGGTCATTACTGGCTCACGATCCAATGGATGAACCTGATTTCAATGCCAAATGACTGCTCTCACTCGTCACCTTGATCATGATCAATACCGTTCCTTGTCTTGAACTCGTGTTAGTTCCTCGCATGGTCATCATTTGAACTCAATGAATTCCAACATGAATTAGCAGCAAGATCTCCCAGATCTTTAACTGCACTATGACCCTTCATGATATCCCAATGACATTGAACCCATTTTGATACCATTTCAGGGCCTTAAACAGTCAGTGATCATTCGGCACGTCCGTTCTGATCGTCTTTCTGTTACATTGCAACGATAATCATTCCATTTACTCTCAAGAGCCTCATATTGCGCTTGGACGTGTTCGGGTGTTCCAACACTGTTTCAAGCCCTTGAGCCTTACCTTATTAAAGAAATTGCTAGTCAATACTTTGTAGAAGTAGAGAAAACAAAGTCGCATTATTTGCGCCACAAAATGCCCGATATGAGTCTTGGAGAGATTTCACCCAAACTGGGACAGAAATCTGACTGGCGTGACTGGCTTCGAGCGGTAACGCAAGAAGCGGACCGCCTGGACCTAGTCCAATACTTCAACAACGTGCTGAACGGCAATGCGGCAGGGATTCCGAACCAACCCAACAACAACGACCGCAAGCTCCAGCAGAATTGGCGAGATTTGAAGAACGTGATCATCAAGTCGCTCAAAGGTGCAGCCGCAGCACATATGAAGGATCAGGATACCACTGTAATGAACGCTGGTGAAGTGGTAACAAACCTCCGTGACGCTGGTTTCAGTCAAAATGACCGCACAGAGCAGCGAATCTCTGCTAAAGCGTTGGAAGGGATGCATTTCACGAACAGTGATTCTCCTCCAGACGTTCCAACATTCTTGGCGAAGGTTAGAGATGTCATGAACCAATCTCCGACCGTATACCCGCCGGAAGTTGGTGTGGCTGTTGCTGATCAACAAAACGGAGCAATCCTCGACATTCTGCCAAAAATGTTTTCCAAAGCATTTCGACAGACAATCGAGAGGATGCAAGAAGATGAACATCTAACGTTCGTCCAAATCGGTGACAGACTCACGAAACGGCTTCAAAGTTTGATTGACTCTGGTGAGTACAAGATCGAGAATCCATCTTTCGGCAAAGCTTTTCCAGCTGTCGAAGATTCCGATGATGAAAACCAGAACAATAACAAAACCAAGAAGCGTAAACGTCAAGATGAGAGTGATGACGATGGTAACGCGTTTGCCGCTCTCAAGAAAACAACGATCAAACGACTTCGCAAGAAGATTCGCAAAGAAATCAAGAACGAGGTCTACGCAACAAAAGGAAGTGGAAAGAGTAGTAGTAGTAGTTCTAGTAGTAAGAAGAACAAAGGAAATGGCAAAGGTAAAGGTGCTAAGAACTCAAATCCTAATGAGGGCATCCAGTGCAACTATTGTCACAAATATGGACATAAGGCGCACAAATGCTGGCTAAACCCGATGAGTCAAAGCTACCAACCTAACAAAGCCATGGGCAGCAACTTCTTCAACAATTCATACAACTGTTGGCCGCAAGGTAACACTATCCCTCCGTGGCACCAGAACAACTATCCACCGCAACAAAGTGGAGGAAAAGGATTCGACAACGGTAACCCACAGCAGCAATGGGGTGGACAACAACCACAACGCTGAGTCGAAACCAATCCGGAATGGAATGGATATGGGAGACGAGATGGACAGTCCCAAGATGAAGAAGAATTGGAAGAAGATTTCCAAAATGAGGATGGAAAATGTTCGCTGAACTTGGAAGAAAACTTTGAGAATAAAGAATATAGAAGTGAACTGCTTAGGGATGAAAGCTATATGATTGACAATCACTCAGGTTGCTATCTTAGTGCAAATCAAAGCAAAACAGTTTCACTTGTTGACAGTTGTGCAAATAAGTATTTGTCTAGCCATCGTTCCGATTTCAAGAAAATTAGCCACCGGCTTTGTCATATTAGTGGCACTGCTGGAAAGCGAAGTGGGAACCTAGGTAGACTAAAAGAAAACAAACTAGGATTAAAATATGGCGTACACTTTGAACACTTACCAAAAGCCATAGATCGCATTATACCGTGGTTAGGTGAAGGAAACTGTCATGAAAAGGGTTGGCAAATGAATTTCACAGAAAGTGGCGGAACGTTGTACAATACTCGCTCCGGCCGCTCTCTACCCATAACAAATTGCCCCCAGATGCAGTTACCTATTCTAGGCTGTGACATGTTTAGCAAAGAAGAAAATGAAACTGAGGAGGATATAGTATGCACTAGTATAGAAGAAGCTAGACTTCATTCACAAGCTTCAAGATTAGACATACATCGTAGACTTGGTCACTTTCACGTTGATGGCCTTAGTGTATCTTGTCCAGAATGTGATCGAACCAAAGGTCAAAGACGCTCTCATGCAAAAGTGAGACCCCCTGGACATATACCTTCTCCATTGAAAACACTTGCAATTGATTTCGCAGTTGGTATTAGACCAGTATCTATAAGAAGCAAAAGATGTGCTTTAGTCATTATTTGTGATTCGATTAAAATGTGTTTCGTTCGTCCTCTTTGCCTCAAGTCGGACTGCGTAGAGGTGATTGAAGAAGTAATAAAAGGCATTCGCCAGGACTACTCATTGTCACTCGACGACAAGGTGGTGTGGTTCATCCGTAGAGATAACGAACCCGTCCTAAGTAGTGACCATATGACCAAAGTCATGCAATCGCTACTGGTTTCGGAAATTCCTGGAGTTCCTTACAACCCAGAAATGAACGGAACTTGCGAACGTTTCATGCGGACCATTTTCGGTGCTGTACGTACCATGTTGGTCAAAGTCGACCGACGTCTTTGGTGTTACTGCTTACAGTATGCCGGAGATTGTTGGAATCGCTTACCGCATCGTTATGCAAAAATGCCAGAACGTGATGGAATGAGTCCTGTCGAGATACTAGAAAAGAGGATAGGAAAGAAGTCCTCGAAAAGTGGTCTAGGTATGTTAAGAAGATTTGGTTGCTTGGTGTACTTTCGTGAACAGGTCGTAGACACCACCAACAAGAAAGAAGCAAAGCTTGCGTCACCTTATCGGCGTGGTGTGTTTCTCGGTCTGTGTCCAGTTTCGTCTGGTTGGCTAGTAGGTACATATCACAACGATGGGAGAACGAAAGCTGGCTTCAAGTGGAGTGAGTATTCCACACTAGACGTAAAATTTCGAGAGTCGATATTAGTCAAGAACATTGATTGGCTATTGCCTACGTCGAAGGGCATTTATGTTGATTATGACCCGCTGGAAAACCTGCAGTCTGGCACGCCGTCGCTGGGTCCCGTCCTGCACAGACATGCGCTGCAACGTATGGCCTGTCAGCCGCGCTTCTCTGGCACGGAGTACAGCTCAGGCGATCCAACCGGCATGGAAATGATACTAGATAACAATGACATTGGTGAGTTTTTCTGTGAATCTTTGGACAAAGAGGAAGATCCAAAGACCGGTGATGATTCCAACTCTGACGCGCAACGCGTTGAGGAGGGGAATATCTCATCGGAGCGTGTGTCGCCTGACTCTAATCCTGAAGCAAGGGATCCGAGGACCTTACCCATTCCACCATCTCAACCAGGCAAAGTTGAGGAGGGGAAGAAAGGCCGAGGAAGACCTAAAGGGAGCAAGGATAAGAATCCAGGACAACGCAAAAGAAGAACAAAAGCCGAGCTAGAAGCATTAAGAAAAGACATGCATAAATTTGCCATGCTAGCAGGCGGGCATGAGCTGGAAGAAGGGGAGACCTTTCTCGAAGCACATGTCATGCTGTCAGTTTCCCAAGCCTTGAAAAGCCCTGACGCCGAGAAATGGCGTGCAGCTATCACCAAGGAGGAAGCTAGACTACTTGCCTTTGAGACTTGGGCGCCAGCTACTGACGAGGAGCTGCGAACCTCTTCTCAGGTAATGCCTATAGCAATCGTTCTCACGGTAAAACGTGATGGAACTTTCAAAGCTCGTGCTTGTGTGCTCGGGAATCTTGATCGTTCGGGGAATATCGACACCTACGCCCCTGTAGTGTCACATGCTGCGAATAGACTTTTACTCGTTTCAGCAGCGACGGACTCTGACTTCGTCATCCCATTCGACCTTGATTCTGCGTTCCTTAATGCTGAACTCGATCGTGACGTCTTCTGCCGTCTTCCACCAGTGTGGGCGGAGAAGCATGGAGCGGATATCGTCAAGCTTAAGAAAGCTCTCTATGGGCTCAAGGACGCTCCACGAGCCTGGTTCAAGAAGTATTGCGTGCTATTGTCCGAACTCGGATGGGAGCCGTGTCCTTCTGCTCCAGGATTGTGGCGGAAAAAGAGCAAAACGCACCCAGGAAAGTATATGAAGATGTCAGTCTATGTTGATGATAACTTAGCTACTGGACCTGACTATCACGAGTTACGGTCTGAGCTCGACCGGATCTTTAGTCGCGCCCCTGGCCGACCTATTGAGATGGCAAAGCGAGTCGATTCTCTTACGGGTTTCGAATGGCTAGAGTTCGACTTTCTTGGTGCGATTGTGCACTATTGTCGGGAAGCACGTTCAGTGAAAATCCTGATGAATGTGTACATAGAGAAGACTATACAGAAGTATAAAATAACATTAGGTAAGCCGGTGTGGTCTCCAAATTTCGACGAGTCTGCTTTGCTTGAGGAGGGGCTTAAGCTAGCAGCCGGGTTTCCATTGCGTGAGATTGTTGGCGCACTGCTTTGGATATCGACAACCGCAAGGCCAGATATTTGCGTCCCTGTGGCGACATTGGCTCGGTATGTCAGTAAGCCCGTTACAGAAAGAATTGCAAAAGCCTGTAGAAAAGTATTAAAGTATCTAGCTACGACAAAAGACCAAGGACTCTATTATTCTCCAGAAAGTGAGGAAGAATTCAACGGAATTTACAAGAAGCTCCTACCAGAAGGAAGAGAGCTACCGTATACTAACTGGTTCTCAGATGCAGGATTCGCAAACTGCATAAAGAGCATGCGCTCGACCAGTGGTTCGATTATGTACTATCGGGGCTTTCCAATCTGTTGGAAACGCAATACACAAACCGTGCGTGCATATTCAACTGCAGAGTCAGAGTATATAGCCGCGTCGGACACTATTGTCATGAGCGAGCTGCATGATTTTACAGATTTCTTCAATCCCTTACCCACTCAATTAGTGGAAACGCGGTTTGGTATATCGCCATCCCTCGATGATGCCATATTGTGGATAGACAACCAGTCTGCAATCTCGACAGCAAAGAGTGAAGACACGAAGCCTAAGAGTAGACACTATGCGTTACGTTATTTACGAGTTAGAGACGCAGCTGAGAAAGTAGTTTTCTGTCCTACTCACCTCATGAAAGCTGATGGACTAACGAAACTTTCATGCTCATCTACTCAACGCAGATTATTATTACATCACATAGAGAATCCAGTCATTAGCCGTAACCATGATGAAGATGATAGTGACTCGGAAACGGAAGATGATGAGTCTGGTTCAAGTTCTGCTTCCGTGGCGGTGCTTACCTATTCTATCTTCTTAGGGTGTTAGGTCGTTGGTCAAGTGGTGACGTCAGTGGATATAGAGAATCGTGATGGTTCTGGGTCAGAGCAGGTAACACCAGACCGTTTGTGACTTTCGTCATTTCCTCACCTAGCGATTGAGGAGGGGTGTTGGTCAATGGTCATTACTGGCTCAAGATCCAACGAACGAACCTGATTTCAATGTCAAATGACTGCTCTCACTCGTCACCTTGATCATGATCAATGCCGTTCCTTGTCTTGAACTCTTGTTAGTTCCTCCTATGATCATCGTTTGAACTCAATGAATTCCAACATGAATTAGCAGCAAGATCTCCCAGATCTTTAACTGCACTATGACCCTTCATGATATCCCAATGACATTGAACCCATTTTGATACCATTTCAGGGCCTTAAACAGTCAGTGATCATTCGGCACGTCCGTTCTGATCGTCTTTCTGTTACATTGCAACGATAATCATTCCATTTGCTCTCAAGAGCCTCGTAGTGCGCTTGGACGTGTTCGGGTGTTCCAACACTATTCGAGTTCTATCTTTATATCAGAATTACATCTTTGAGCCGTATATTAGAATGTGAGTCTTACAACATCTTTGAATTTGAAGATTTATCTGAGTCATCTTTGAATTTGAAGATTTTTGGGTGGATTTTTCTGGTCCTTTGAATTGTTTGTGTTTCTTCTTAGATAGTAGTTTTTCTTTGTTTCTTTCTTTGCGTTTCATCTTACTTTATCTGAAGTTTTCTTCATTCCTTTGAAGATGATAGTTTAGAAGGTCAAGGCCTCAACCGATGGCTGAGCCGACTGATGAGCCCGACATCGGCACACTAACCTTGTAAATTAGTAGAAGAACCTGCGAACGTGAACGAATATGAAAGTACAGAGTATTTCTTCATAAGATGAATTCCAAGCGGCGTATCGAAGCGGGCACAGCGGAGGAACCTCGTCTGTGGATGTGGAAGTGGGACCCCCGTTTTTCTTTTACGAACGGCCAGCCTAGACATTCACATTGGAGGATGGCGAAATTGTTTGAAAATTGTGTAAAAATCGCACAGAAAAATGAACCTGCTAAACCTGCCAAATGATCTCAGAGGAGGTGAGCGATCTCTTACATAATCGGAGGCCTGGGAGGTTTCGTTTAGCAGGTTGTCTGGGACGTCGGTCCTTCGATGTTTTTCCTGGTCCATTTTCGTACAATTTTTAGACACGAATGAATCTATTCAAACAATTATTTCGCACAAGCCTGGAGGGGTCATCTACTAGGCAGTGTCTGTGGCCTCTTCCCCTCTGGAGGGGTCATCTACTAGGCAGTGTCAGTGGATCTAATTCTTTTCCGGTAGACGATCATTCCCCTATGAACACCGCAGAGAATAAAGTGGAGCGACGGAAATATCCCGACCAGCAAATTTGTGGTTTCTATGGCGGATACCATCCAGCGCGGGGCGATTTGCACATGCTTGGCGTCTACTACCGAAGCGACGGAGAGCAAGCAGCCCCTCCTTCTATTAAGGGTAGGTCTAATTCTAGTTTTTTATTTGGGGGTCGAGCTGCTGATAGTCTACTCCCAGAGAACCTTATGTCGTGTTTATCTTTATAGTATCCATGCCAGAGCCAGACCTTTCCCAGATTGTTGCTAGGATTGTTCAAGGGCTACTTCTAGCAGCTCCCTTAGTTTCTAGAAGCTCAGATGAATCTCCTGGGAAGGGACAACATGATTCGTACTGGTGCTCCTGGGTTGTTTGGTTATAACTGATAGCTGGGGGGACCACCCCGACAGAAGTGGTGCTCGTGGTGGTGGTGGATATTTTCGCGGATTTTCCCCATTTCCACGTCGCGGCGGTGGAGGACGTGCTGGTTGGGACCGTAAGGAAGAGCACGAACAAGAAGGACCGAGAGTACAGACAACCAGGAACAGGAAAGTGACAGTGGAAGCAACAGCTGAGTCTGGCCCGTTGATGGAATTTTTCGGACTGGGGAAGTTCTCGACGAAGTTGAAATGGGCAGACGCAGCGACGACAGGTGCAGGAGCTACTTTTTATGAGAACATACCAGAAGGATCGACTGAAGACAGAAAATATTTTATTTCCGGAATATTTCCCAAAGCACAAGAAAGCTGTAGCAACTATGGAATATTCTGAAAATATTTTTGTCGTTCGATGGTTTCTTTGTGGTTCGTTTCTAAAATTTAGAAGACGATGACGATGACGATGACGATGGCGATGGCGATGACGATGACGATGACGATGACGATGACGATGACGATGACGATGACGATGACGATGACGATGACGATGATGAACAAGATGGGGCCACTGGTGCTAAGGGATCATCAACATCTTCCCATGCAGCACCACCGAGAGACCCCAAACGCGAGAAGGGCCCAGTTCTTCGTGACCTCCAGAACCCAAGCGTTACTATTAATATCAACGTACACAATCGTGAGGGCGGCATAGTGAACATGAGCCAGCATAACTGCTACGAGGGTCCGTCACCAGGTCCATCAGCTTCACCATATCCATCAGCTTCAGCATGTCGCCGAGGTGGCGGGCTAGGAGGAGGAGGAGCATCTTCTTTTTTGTCGCCATAGGTAGAAGATTCTCATGATTTCGAATGTCAACCTGTGAGGACTTTGAAGGTCCGCAACGCGGAAGCAGTAACCTAAGCGCTAAGAACACTGAGTAAGCACTTGGATAATTGGGATTTGTGTTCTAGAAAAACAAGAATAAGAGGAGAGCTTGAAAAACCACAAGAAACATCAACAAGCTTGATCCGATCATCTTCCGGATGACGTATGATCCACCAGAAGCTCCAGACGACTACAGCAGGTCTCCTTCAAAGTCTATATAATGATAATTTAGAAGACAAAATTAATTTCAACATTTGAATATTTACATTTTAGAAGAAGCTACATTGTAGGTAATTCGATAAATCGTAATGTTGTTGGGACCGACGAGAAACTAAAAGACCCAGAAGAAAATTCACGAAATCGAAAACTTGAGGATGGCCTAGCTAACATTGGGACGAAGTTAGTAATTGTAGTTGAACTTGAAACCTTTGGTCTTGTTGGTAGACGTAGGATTTACATTTAATGACTCAGAACCAACCATAATGATAAAAGAGGGTCAATATGAACATGTTTTCCACGACGATGGAGACTTGTCTATGAGAATATCACTAGTTATTTACCTGGATATGAGGAGCGAGTTGTTGTTGTTCTTCCGATTTCAATTTGGCCTTTCGATTTAATGTATGCTCTTTCGATGGCGTCAGGACTTTCATGTTGAGTTGTTCGCTTTTCTTCATTAAGGTTTTGATGAAGCCAACTGAGGTTTGGTTGATCCTGATAGATTGGATGCATTTCATCATGCCAGGCACATCAATCAATCAATCAATCAGTGCCCTTCTCCTCGTGGAAACACGCACAATGATATTGCAGATTGAAGAGAGGTTGCAACCTTCAAGGAGGTCTTGTCTCCCGCCTCTGTGTCTGTCTTCTTTCACGCCAAAACTACGAAACTAACTGTTGTTCGGCATAGGATGTTGTTGATCGGCATAGGATGGAAGCGTATTTCTGCTAGATGTATGTATGTAGATCGAACCTGCAAAGAGGGAACACAAAGAGGGCTACATCTTTTGCCCCTAAAGCTGAGGCCGCTCTTTCAGTAGCCCCAGGATACAAAAAAAAGGAAACTCTTTCCTGAAATCTCCAAATCCAAATCCAAACTGTACAAGTTGTATCGAAAAAAGTGTTAAAAGTCAAATAGTCAAAGCACGACTCGATACGTTTTCTAACTCTAATTCTAACACGACTCCTCGATTATAATTTATACAAAATGAGTAATTATGAACACAGGGAGTTGTATGTTCTTGTACAATCAAAGAGTTAGACATTACAAGAACTTTTTTGATTTATTTTCACTAGCCTCCACAAGCTTCGCCCGGCTTCAAGTTAGTTTAGCACTTTTCTGCGGCCTCCCACGGGCTACAGCCGCTAGAGTAGAGACAGCCGGCGGGTGAGCTGATGCACCTCACGAATTGACTACGACAAGAGCCGAGTGCCGGCGGTGGCCGACTCAGATGCGTCGACTCATGTGCAGGGCATTGCGCTGCCTTCGGTTTTTTTTTTGAGATTGCCGGGCGGGTCATGCAAATTCTTAAGAATTTGCAAGACCCCCACGGCAGTCCAACAAAAAAACCAGAAGAGAGCCACCAGACACGCACAAGAATCCGCAAGCCCCAACGCACGCAAGCGCCTCGCGGTGGCGCCAGGCAAGAACGAGGGGCGACCTTGATGGGCCAAACAAGACAAAGCAACGCAGGGCCGCGCTGCTTGGGTCTCTCTACGCGCTTACACCTGGCGGGGCTTCTTTGTTTCGTCAGA